ATACCTTGACAAATCCCGGAAGAAATTCAACCGGGTATCAACCAAGGTTGGGTATACTTATGACCAAGGTTTGGTTGTTTTGTTTGGTTGTTTTTTGACTAATGATCGATTCTCAGAGATCGCGCTCGAAAACCCGGTTGGAATGGCGCGGGCTCCGTCTTTGCTACCGAATTTGCAAAAACCAAACGTGATTTTGGTGAATTGAAGCTTTTCACGGACGTTCCATCCTTTCCGGTCCCGCCTGCGCCTCCGTGTACTTCTGCATGGGTGCTTTTCCATGTCGTTGCTTCCTCAATATTGTGCTGATTGGAAAATACACCTTTTATTACACCTCAATGGTGGTGATGAAGGCGGCGATTCCCGATGTTTGCTGCTCCGATATTGAGTGTGCATTGGCAATTCCTGGACGATACCGCTGTCGTCGGAAGTCCCCGCGGGGGCGGCATGCCACCCCGCCACCCAGGGAAATTCCAGAACAATTCCAGAGTAGGAGGGCGCCGAGGCGGAATTCGCCGTGATATCCCGTCCCCACTGCGAGTATCTTCATAAACCAGCATATAAACAGCCCCGGTCGCGATGTTGGTATTCTAGCATTTAATTGCGGATTCGGAGTCAACCCGCTGAGGAGCGTGGTCATATCCGATCGCCAAAGTAGTACAGTACCATCGCGCCACATTGTCATCAATGCCCAGCTTCTTCTAAGTTCCCACCACGATACCCTCGCCACAGCGCCACCAACTGCACTCCATCTCAGACATTGCGATGAGAAAATTCTCGGCTGAGCGGTATCATCCTAACAGGTTGTCAAATAAAACAGTATCAGGGAACATCACCGGTGAAGATGTGGTCCTTATCCTGGTGAGTCCGTACCTACACTCGTGCACTGGCTATTTCAGAGCCTCAGTCTTGATTTCGTTCTGAAAAATATGCAATATCGACTCACCTTGGCATGGGCAGTTCTCCATCTTCTTGCCCCCGCTCGCGGTCATCCTGATGGGGCGTTCGCCAGCCGTCATAATCATCAACATCTTGCTGACCATCTTTGGGTGGTTCTTGGGGATTATTCATGCATCCTGGATCTTGTACAAGAAGAGGCGCGTTAGCTGGTGAATACAAATACGTGCACTTCCCTCAACGGTCTATGCGAAATCAGACCACACGTTGGCATGCTTGCAATTGAATCCAGCCACTTGTTACTGACACTCTGTCCATCCATCGCCGGTCAAACAATTGAAGAAATAGCGCGGATTGTACCATCTGAACACCGTACATCGGTCGTGTTCTCCCGCCGTCTTTCAACTCATTATACGCCTCCCACGCATGTCTGCGCCCCATCGCCCTCTGGGATTCTCCTTGGCTTTACTCACAGAATGAAGCCTTTCTGTTTCTCCCCTTGGCATCTTTTAAAGCCTAAGCAGGTGACCCATTGTGCGATCGGGCCGTTCTATGCCCGTCAACGTCACTGATATTCAGCGCGACAGATCTTGGGACTCGTCTGCTCTCGACCCACCATCATGTCCATCCCAAAAGCTTTGTTTCAACCGCTGCAGGTGGGCCCTCTCACGCTCAAAAATCGCGTTGGAATGGCCGCCATGACGCGCAATCGCTCAACGCCAACTTCTGTGCCAAACGACCTCAACATTGAGTACTATCGCCAACGAGCTGCAGGAGGAGCTGGCCTCATCGTCTCTGAGGGCACTTTGATCTCTCCGCAAGGGTGCGTTGCCGAAAGTACAGGCGACAGTCTCCTCACATACATGTCGTAGGTCAGAGTGGCCGAACGCGCCTGGGATCTGGAGTGACGCCCACATAGACGGCTGGTCAAGGGTCACCGCCGCCGTACATCAGGAGGGCGGTAAAATATACTCTCAGGTGCGCGAATTATCGAACGCGTCACTTCTCGCGATGTGCTCACGTCGAAGTCATGACAGCTTTGGCATCTTGGTCGCGTCAACCACCCCGACGCGCCTGAACACAAGAAGTCCGGTGATGTTCGTTCCAATCGATATTGTCTACGCGAATCATGACCGAACCTACACGTGCAGCCTGTGTATGCGCCTTCAGCAATTGCGGCGCGTGGAGGGAAGTTTAGCTTCCTGCCCGGAGCGCCTGGGTATGTGACACCTACGCCTGTCGAGGACCCTGCCACACTGCTCCCCGCATGGAGACAAGCTGCTCTCAATGCGCAAGAAGCAGGTTTTGACGGCGTAGAAGGTGTGAACACTTATGGTACGAGCGAACGTCGCTCATGCGGATTACCTAGTCCACGGCGCTAATGGCTACCTCATTTCACAATTTCTGGACAGCACGTCGAACAAGCGAACGGATAAGTGGGGTGGTAGTGTCGAGAATCGTTCGCGGTTTGGGCTTGAGGTACTCAGAGAGGTGTGCGATGTGTGGGGGCCGGAACAGGTCGCTATTAAGCTCAACCCATGCGGAGGTTACAACGACGTTGGGTGAGGACTCTTCTGCAATTGCTCCTAGAGTATCTCTCTTACCGCATCCAGTATGCCTCTGGAAGAGACCAAAGAGACTTACAGCCATTTCATCACCGAGGCCGACAAGATGAAGCTTGGATACATCTGCCTAGTCCGATATGCCAAGGCGCTTGACCAAACCGTTGATGGTAAGGTCAATGCATCGTCGCAGACATCCCACTAACCTTCCACAGGCAAGCTTCGTGGCACCAAACACGACGTATTGAGCACCTACGCTCCTCTCATCAAGCACGCGCGCAAGTTTGCGAACGCAGGGTTCTCCGGCGCAGAGGCAGAAAAAGTTGTTGCGCAGGGACTTGTGGATGGCGTTTTCTTCGGCATACCGTGGGTGTCCAATCCTGACTTTGCTGAGCGCCTCGAGCGCGGTAAGAAACCCAATATGGCCATTGACTTCGCAGCTCTGTATGCAAATGGTGCCAAAGGTTATATTGACTACCCAGAAATTGATTGAGCATTGCCATGGACACTGCCTGTATTAGTAGATTTGAGCTGGTAGCCTCAAGAAACAATCGATTGTCGTTGTAAAGGCGTCGGTCAATTTGTGAATGTTGACAAACCTGAAGCACCAAATACCGTCAAGTTTGTTTGTTCGGGTAATGTATGGGTCGGGGTCATTTGCTTCAATCGCATACATAGCGGTCTCGCGTTGATCTTCCAGGGTGAACGTGTGGGATTACGGATGTTGGCTTCAATAGTCACATTATGAACAAATATATAGGACTTTCACCGGCGCGTATGGTAGACCATTCAAGAAGAGAGTAGGGAGACAGGATGTACATGCCGCAGTCGCGAAGACTTAGCAGCCGCCGAGCTAATAAAGGAATCAGATGAAGTTCGGATACGGCAGAGGGTTGAGATGAAGAAGTTGAATGAAAGTGGTACGCACTTGCTCGAGATGAGCGTCAATGGTATCATCATCCTCGATTCCGACCTAACATAAGCTCTCAATACGGCGGCGTGGTTCCAAGTCAAATAGCGCGTACATCTCCGAGGGTCTGTTCCGGTCGTATTCTTGCACCTTCGTACGTGAATTTGAAGGTACCTGAACATCACAAATTAGCTTTGCACAACTGTAGACACTATACTGAGCATGCCTGCGTCTTTGCCCCATCGTTTCTGTATATTTCATGAGTCTTAAGAGAGTCAAAAATCCGTGAAAGTGTTTCTTGCCTCGGCAGCGGAGAATATCTTTGCAAACTTTGTGTCGCGTTTGGCGGCAACAGTGATTTCTTTTCAGAGTCAATGCGGGGAGTGGCCGGAGGAGGGCTGTGTTACACACTTTCGCCGCCATCGTTCTGAATGTGCAAATTGAGCTTCGGTTTCACGTCGCTTTCTGCCATCGTAGGGTGAGAGTGTATTGTGTGCGCGATGGAGAAAGGGAAGCAGGCGATACGCGCCTGGTCACAGTATCACGTTGCATGTGTCACACGCTAAACGTTCTTAACAATTAGATTACATGATTTTGGGCATCCATCCTACTATCATGGGGTCATAGCTCAGTTGGGAGAGCAGCAGACTGAAGTTTCGAATTCTGAAGGTCCCCAGTTCAATCCTGGGTGACCCCACTTGTTTTGGCACTTTTGCGATATTGCATGAACATCACAACAAAAATCAATTGGGGTTGACAGCTTATCAAAAGGGCCATCTGGTCAACAAGATTATGGACGATCTTATACGACGATAAGCTTCTCGCTTGATGACCTCCGCTGTTCTCGACTGCAAGGGTGTGAAAGCGTTGGTTGTCCTTGTATAAATTGTTGACAAGAGCAACGCTGAACCTACGAGCAGACTCTCGTATCCTACCGACATTGTATGCCAATCCGACAATAATTCGTCTTCACTTTCGCGCGCTCTGAACTGGCTCTGAACAAGAAGCATTTTCAAGCGGCCGTCGCTGATTGGCCGTTGGCCGTTGTACCCTTGTGATCGAAGTGACCGGTGAGGTCCTCATCGGCATCTATCCCATGTTACCGCCTCACTCTCTTAGTTTCCTTCCATCTCTAGATGTTGCCCGACTCACTATCCGCTGCTATGCTGGATGAAATCTATGCTTTGGAAGCAGGCGTATCGACGCGCCGGATGATTGCTATGGGTGCTGTGTTTGTATTGTCTCTCTTCGGTGAGCACGGCCCTCCCCCACACGGAGCGCACGACCTTGACGTGTTCCAGCTGTTAGCTTTCCGTCAATATCACAACGTTCGCGGAGGATATCCATACCCAAGATCTTCTTCTTTATTGGCAAGCATTTTGGAACGGGTGCGCCTCATTCACGCTACCTGTGTTGCTGTTGCTCAACGAGGTGATGCAGGAGTCATCCTGTCGACTGCTTTCTGCCACTTGTTACAAGACTCGTTCGAGGCGCTGACGAGTCGAGCTGTCAAGGAGGAATATGGCAGCACTATAGGAAAACAGACGGGATTGATAATGTGCGTTCCGTTGTTCTCGTTGCGTATTCTGTCCTGACGGATCATCCAAGCCTTGCTTCCCTCTTGGCAATCTTTATCATCGAATGTAGGTTACCGGTTTGCACCCTATGCCAGCTTTGACTTACCTTCTTAAGATGTATCGACGTCCTATGTGGACCACCTTCATGGCGAACCCTCACAGCCGCCATCGCCTGCACCATCAATACAGGAAATACCGTCATGCAGCAATGCCCCAGTGCCGGATTACTTCCACAACAACGAGCGCACGCCCCTTCTGTCCGATTCCCAGCGTTCACAAACGATGCCACATCCCGCCGTCATTCCGCCCCAACAGCGTCAACATTACCTAACGTCCATCGTGAACTCTCCTCGGCACAGCCGCAGTACAGAATCGTTTTATATCATCAACGACCTCAACTACCATGTCAACAATGGTGAATATCAACTCATTGGAGGCCGTGGCGGGTGTGTTTGCGTGTGCGTATGCAAACCAGGCGAAGAGCAGACCAGACTCTTCAAGGATAGCCACATCAGCCGTCCTGCGACCCCGATGCACGAGGAGCCTGTACACAAACATGTGGTTGGTAGGAAACGCAAAGTCGTGGGCATCCTGGTACGTCTCAACTCAGATGCGCTTAGCGCCTTGTCTCATCTTGTCGACAGGTCCTCCAGTTGGGTATTATGATACACTCGCTCGTTATCGGCCTCACCTTGTCTATCACCCGTGGGGCTGAGTTCACCACGCTTCTCACCGCCATCGTCTTCCATCAACTCTTCGAGGGATTAAGTTTGGGCATACGCATTGCATCTCTCCCACCCCCGTCAAGTTCTGTTCTCCCAGCACCGAGTACCTTCGTTGGTCGTTCTCGTCAGCAGTGGCTGCAGCCCACGCTAGCCTTCCTCTTCGCTGTCACCACCCCTGCGGGCATGGGTCTCGGTATGGCTGTCTTCGCAGGGACCACACACTCCCAGGGACAGATGCAGCTCACCCAGGGCCTCATGTCCGCTATCTCAGCTGGCATGCTCATCTACGCAGCGACAGTCGAGATGCTTGCAGGCGATTTCGTGTTTGGCAACCTCCAAGGCGGACACGAGCATGGACATGGGGCAGAGGAAGAGGAGAACCACGAACCAAAGGAGGCGCCGACGATGCGGAGAAAAATCATAGCGCTGGCTAGTTTGCTTGCTGGAGTGGCTGGAATGAGCCTTGTAGGCATTGGGGAATAATTCGGATTCAACGGATTCAACGGACCCTCTGTATATTTGTACCATCATTTATTACCGGACACACACTAGACTTGTATAAAGTATTTTCTAGCTTGCTACCACCGCAAAGCTATACTTGCATGCACTGAATCTGGAGACCAAGTCTGAGTAAGCCTGAATGTCTATTGTGCGTGTCCTCGTTGAGATTTATCTCGTTGGTCTACAATTCCCAAATATCGTGCCCGTTGCACTAACCTGTCCACGAACAGACTTGCTACATTCATACGTAGTAGAGGCACGTTTGTGGACTAACAAAGTCTTAAGTGTGTTCGTAGTACTCAAACCGAAGAACTCAAGCGCCTCAAACACGACGCTCGACAAGGAATTCAAAATCGCGGCTGTCTGACTGCGTGTAAGTAAAATCTGGACCCTCACATGCTCTCAGGCTTTGGAAGGAGAAACTACAGTGTTTAGAGTCCAACACGAGTTTGCGTGCGAGCAAAGTTGATGTGAGCTTGCTAACAATGTGCATCTTACAACACGAATACAGCGATGTGTATTGATACATATGCATGTGGTTTGGCCATAAAAATCATACGAAAAAACACGACGGAAAAGACACTACCGCTACGAGGGCTTACAGCTGCTTCTTCGATCCACGAACCTTCTTAGGCGGCGATGCCTTGGGCTCCTTTTGTGCGGCTACAAGAGCGGACACACGAGAGATGGCGGCCTGGAGGGAACGGTGTTAGCGTAGGTTCAATCTCGAAGTAGGCAAGAGGGAGGGATAGATGGGTAAGGGTGTCAGCCCCAAAGAGTCGGTGAGCCGCTATAGAACGGGCACCGATAGCGACATGGGGCACTCTCCAAACGAGTTTGATCGGCTCGAGGAGGAGGGGGGTTGATATTGCATACATGTCCACGCCCAACTTTCATACTTTGATTCCAGCGGGTTCTAACGAGAATGCGTCGAAAGGGGAGAGAGGAAGAATTGGAGATGGATGAGAAGCTTTGGAAGCGAAACTCACGGCACGGAGGTCGGGGCGGTAGCCACGCTTGGCGATTCCAGCAGCAACACCTGCTGCGCGGCGACCACCGGAGCGGGGGCGGATGACAGTGGTGGCGTACGCCTTGGAGACAGACGTGGGCGAAGCGTTGGGCTTGCGGGTGACGATCTTCACGCCAGTGGGAGAGTCAACAACGGCAATTGTCTAAAGGCATTTCTTCAGGGCCAATTTGGATTTCAGCGGTTTGTTACGCACCTTGCTGTTGGCGAGTCCCGAGAATTTGTGGGAGTGAACATTGGTGAGGTTAGCCTACTTCTGCTAAGATTATATGTCGCGCAGGTGCGGAAAGCGTTAAAACTCACGGGCTCCCTCGAGAAGATCGGCCCCTCAGACAACCTCTTTACAATGAAAGAGTTGTTTTTCTACGCCATAATCAGCCGCCCATCCTTCGATAAAGTCGGTGCAAACGAACACGCAGCAGCAGCCATTGGAGGTCGGTCGACATGGTGTGTTATTTCAGCCCATATCGAGCGCGAGCGCTCCGCAAAAACGGGGCCAACCTTAATGCGAAAACTGCATAGATTGATCGCGGCATATGCCGAGACGTTCTCTTCTGAGTTCCGACCTCGTTGCGACTTTACCGTCCGGCCTGACGGGTGCGGGCGAAGAGTGGGCCATGAAGACATCGGCGTGAACACTCGTGACGGAAGTCATTCAGGCGGGAGCCTTTCCGGTGGGAACCGAAGGACGGGAGCTGGCTGGACACCACGCCTCCCAGTCAAGGGGAACCTTACACAGGGTGTGCGAGGAGCACACAGCCCTCCCATAGGATGGGAAGATGACGGAAGTCATAGGACGACCTGCGAGCGGAAGCCCAGAGTTGTCGTGGGAGGACCACATTATTGCACTGGACGTGCTGGGCGGGTTTTGGGGTGCCGGAGGGGTTGGGTGTCGAGCGAGCATTGGGCGTTGAACGCATGCGCGTATCCATTGGATATGTCGGGCGAACACCGACAGCTCGATACCTCTTTACTTTGGACATCCCTCTCGGAAGCGTAGCGCGCAAAATACCTCTTTTTCCTGCCCTCAGAAACTTCGTCTGAATCGCCTTATATTTGTCGTCCGGCAAGAGCGCCGAAGCTCAACACAGCTCGTCTAGCGCTTTCCGCTTGGATATCTGCCAAGAAGAATGTCAGTTGAAAGTCGCGTTGAACGTACTCTTGCCCTCGGGATCGATGGCAGTTCTTGGTCTCCATTGTCCAAAGTGGTTCAGCGTTGAGCGCATGTTCAACAAGCGTTAAGCTCAAGCACCACGCATGGTCTCTGCCTCTCCGCCATGGGTTGTCAATATTTGGATTCTAACGTACAGTATAAGTTGGCAAAGCTCAGACGCTTCAAAGTAGTGCGTGGAAACCACTTCAGAGGTAAGCTTATTGACAGTCAGAAATCCACCCCAATGCTTCGCCCCGCGCCGTATATGTCGAAACTCATTCGCGCAGCGTTGAAGATCAATTGCAAGAGGCTCGTAAAGTCGAAGCGATAACCATACTGGACTGACATCTGCTAATTAGCTCATTTCAGTTCCTCGGAGGAAGAGATCCCTGATGCTACACACAAGGTCACCGGAGTGGACAGCCGAAATGGACGGAGGGCTCTCAACTTCAGCGCTCATCCTCTGGATCCGATACATTGTTGGCTTTATATACTTACCATCTCATTTCTTTCCCTGTCCTCGACTTCTCTCTTTCATTTCTGAGTTCGAATTCCATCCAAATACCACGGGCGAAGTGCTTTCTCTGGCCGGTGATGGCGCCACATCTATGCTCGCTTCTTTCTCGGCTGCCCAACACCTGTCAGCGATGCCCATTCATTATTCAACCTTTGTGACGAAGCTTCTCTGCCTTATATTGTGATCTGGCACGCGCC